TACACACCTATCTCTCTCCCAGACACGCGTTCTGATGCTACGCGTGATCGACATCGCGGCGCGCTCGTCCGCCTGCTTCGTCATGTGCTATATAAATGAAGCGGAGGCTGAGAAGAACACTGTGTAAATCAAACCCCAGTCTGAAACCTCTGAAAAAAACTCTTCGTGCGGCTGAGAGAAGATACACTTGTAACACTCTGTCCACTCTGTAACCACCCATCTCTTCTGATAAGCGACCCTCAGACATACACGCCTTACCTGCCTTTCTTCCCGTTCCAGCCGGACCCAGAACATGGCCGTGCTGTCCCGTGGTCTACTTACGCTCTTTCCAGAATCCTAACGACGTCCACAACGAGAAAATCAACTTGGTTGTGGTGGCCGTGAACCCCAACCAAACACTTCTGGATTTGCTCCTTTGAATCTTCCGATGCGGTCTAGGTTGGAGCAAAAGGAATCTCGGGTGCAAACTGATATTGAGGCCCAATCAGTATACATGAAGTCATGTGTGTGAAACCATGGACATGCGGGTTACAAACTGGTCGAACCGGCTGCCAGAGAGGAAATGAGGTACTGCAGCAGTTAATACGGCCTCTAAACTCGCTCTACTGCTCCAACGTTGCTATTAAGGATGCGCATGCAGAGCAAGAGATAAGGTTGTGCTGAAGGCAGAATCACTAAAGCTGAAGCGTAAAGGCCCACCGTGATTGTTCCGATTTGGTCGCCGCCTATATGCAGTCGCAACGTGGAGGAGTATGGGGGATTGTGAACCGTGCTCCACTTGGGCGCGTGGAAAAACATGGACAGCCCACACCGTCAAGGGCTCCGGCAGTGACGGAGGGCAAGAAGTAAGAGACCGGCGGCAGTAGTACTACTTTGTCTGGACGGTGGACTGGTGTGTCATGTGTGCTACGTCAAGCATGTTTTGTGTTTTTTGTTTTTTTTATTTTTTTTTTTTTTTTTGGTTGTTTGTAAGTGTGATCGGGGTTCGATCCCTGAGTATGTAATACAGAACCAAGGTTTTGTGCATGAATCAGTTAAATCTACTATGTTTATTGAATTGGAATTTTGAAAAAAAATAAGCAAAAATAAAAATGTAAAAGAATAAATAAGAAAAAAATTTGCATAATTCAAAACCAGAAAAGAGTGGGTCTGACGGATTGGTGACAAAAATCAGCCTAGCAAGAATCGTGTTCGGGAATGTTTTATTTTTATTTATTTATTTATCTAATTCTATTATTCTATTTTTTTTACAGTATAAAGATTAATAATAGAGGAGGTTAAAACTAAAGATAAAAAGAAAATGATGATGGAATAATAAAAATAAAAGAAAATGATGATGAATGTCAGGGATTGATTTTTTTTTTTATTTTTCTCTTTTTTTTTTTTTTTTTTAAAACAAACATCATCATCGCATGTTTGCCAGAGCACAGCTGCATTTATATGAAAGCTGCCTTATATGAAAATAAAATCATGGAGTGGATGTAGATTTAAAATAAAAAGAAAGGAAAAAGAGGCGTAAATGTGAGGAGACGAGAGAGATGCTAATTATTATGGTAGAGGATCGGAAAATTATGTATATAAAGAAATGAGTATATCGAGCTATGTGGAAGCGGCACTTCACCTATCTCCACTTCACCACACACTCCACTTCACCTAACCCACTATCACCTCCACTACACCTACTACCACATTTTCTTCTATATATAGATTGTATAGGAATTGTAATTAATCAATCTTGTAATACAACAATCTTGAAACATCAATCAATAATACAATTCTCTATTTCTCTTTATACATTAAATTTCTACATGGTATCAGAGCCATAAGATTTAGGCCCGTATTTTGTTTTCTCACCGGCGGGCAGCCGACCGGCAATCTTGCCTTCGCTGCCCGCTGGAATTTTGTACACATACCTTCACTTTCCTGCCTCTTCCAACTTTCTTACAACTGTTATCCCATAGATGGGCTTCATATCTACCGGTCCATCTATGCCTTGTGACACCTCTATACTGTGAAGTCCTCTGTCCAAATGCATCAATGGACTTCTTATGGACAACCTGCTTCTGATCAAGCTTCTCAGACCCTCTTTTCTTCCCCTCCTTGAATGGTGTTTGGTACACCTCATGGCCTCTAAATGCATAGTAATCTGAGTATTGCTGGGCTAATAACGAAGGCCTCTCGAGCAACTGAGATGGGGCTTCATATTCCCTTGCCCATCCAGCATCCATAACCATCACTTTGTCACAGTCCATAACTATGGGTATTCTGTGAGCTATGCTGATTATTGTACACGACACAAAGTCCTCGCAAATGGTTTTCTGAATGACAGCATCGGTCTGGGAGTCGACAGAAGCCGTTGCTTCGTCCATAAACAGAATCTTGCTGTGTTTCAGCTGTCTCTGTCCCACACTCCAATTGTCTCCGCCATCAACCACTGATGCATTGAGTTTTTCAGGCTTTGCAGCCACAACATCTTTTAGTGGTACTGTTTTTGTGCGAAGGGACAGAAATCATCACATTTCTCACCTTTTTTTTTTTTATTTTGTCCTCCACTTTACACCTCACATGCCTTCTCTCTGTCTAAACAATAATTTTCCACCATCTCCCTCTTTTTCTACACAATATTTTTGTACCACCGCCCACTCCATGATATCAATATCAAAAAGAAATCATCACATTTCTCACCTTTTTTTCTTTTATTTTGTCCTCCACTTTACACCTCACATGCCTTCTCTCTGTCTAAACACAATATTTTTGTACCACCGCCCACTCCATGATACCAATATCAAAAATCAAAAAAAAAAACAAAAAAACAAAAAAAAAAATTTCATTCCAGTTAATTTTTCTGCATTACCACACCTACCATTCGAGTTTGCCAAACACACTTGCTCACCAACACCAACACCAACACCAACACCAACACCTTAGAGTCTTCACTCTTGATGCACTTAACCTAATTAAAGTCTCTTGTTTTCTTCTTTCTTATCTTAGTAAGTTTGTATATTCTCTTCTCTCCCTCCTTACTATCTAATCTAGTGTATAGGTCATCATAGGTTTTCAACTTAGTCTTTCTTACTACTTTTTTGACCTTCTTATTAGCCAATTTGTAGCTCTTAAGGTTTTAGTTCAATCATTCTATCACTTTTTAGAGCACTCCTTTTTCGTCTTTATTACCGCTTGAACTCCTCCCTCCACCACCAAGTTTCTCTAGAGTTGGGTCCCTTTCCTTTCGACTCTCCAAGAACTTCTCATGAGATACTCCTCATACAATTGGTCATCGAGTTCCACATAGTGTTAGCATCATCTTCCAAGTCCCAAGTACCTTCTTTATCCATTCTATTCTTAAATCTTTTTAGGTCCCACCATCTCGTCCTACGACGCCCACTATCCTTCTTAGCTTGGTATTGCCCTTTAAGGCATAAATCTAATACCAAAATTCTATGTTGAGACGTCAAGTTCTCTCCAGGAATGACCTTACAATCGCTGCATTTTAAACAGTCCACTTTTCTTACTAGAAAGTAATCTATTTAGCTCCTAATTGACCTACTCTTAAATGTTATCAAATGTTCTTCTCTCTTTTTATACATAGTATTGGCCACCACCAGATCAGAAGCCAACGCAAAATCTAAAATACTCTCTCCAGCTTCATTTTTATCACCAAAACCATACCCACCATGCACCCTCTCATATCCTATTTTATCTATTCCTACATGGTTGTTGAAATCACCACCTATAACTAGATTCTCTCCTACGGGTATTGTTAAAATCCACCTACTCTCCACCTACTTCACCCACTTAAACCTACTCCACTAAACCTAACCCACTACACCACTACCACCTCACCTACTCCACTAAACCTAACCCACTACACCACTACCACCTCCACTTCACCTACTCCTTACCTACTACACACTCACCCTCTTCTGTATATAGGAATCATGAATCATTGTAATATACATCAATACATGAATCAATAATACAATTCTTTATTTCTCTTTATACATTAAATTTCTACATGGTATCAGAGCCATAAGATTTAGGCCCGTATTTTGTTTTCTCACCGGCGGGCAGCCGGCCGGCAACCTTGCCTCCGCTGCCCGCTGGAATTTTGTACACATACCTTCACTTTCCTGCCTCTTCCAACTTTCTTACAACTGTTGTCCCATAGATGGGCTTCATATCTACCGATCCATCTATGCCTTGTGACACCTCTATACTGTGAAGTCCTCTGTCCAAATGCATCAATGGACTTCCTATGGACAACCTGCTTCTGATCAAGCTTCTCAGACCCTCTTTTCTTCCCCTCCTTGAATGGTGTTTGGTACACCTCAAGGCCTCTCGAGCAACTGAGATGGGGCTTCATATTCCCTTGCCCATCCAGCATCCATAACCATCACTTTGTCACAGTCCATAACTGTGGGTATTCTGTGAGCTATGCTGATTATTGTAAACGACACAAAGTCCTCGCGAATGGTTTTCTGAATGACAGCATCGGTCTGGGAATCGACAGAAGCCGTTGCTTCGTCCATAAACAGAATCTTGCTGTGTTTTAGCATGACTCTCCCCAAGCTCAGAAGCTGTCTCTGTCCCACACTCCAATTGTCTCCGCCATCAACCACTGATGCATTGAGTTTTTCAGGCTTTGCAGCCACAACATCTTTTAGTGGTACTGTTTTTTGTGCGAAGGGACAGAAATCATCACATTTCTCACTTTTTTTTCTTTTATTTTGTCCTCC